GGGGGGGGGGGGGGGGGGGGGGGGGGGGGGCTGCTAAGTCTGTGAAGTAGAGAGGTCTGCCTGTGTTAGGCTGCAGACAAGGGCAGGTGGGCATGTAGGCCACAGAGGAAGACCTACTCCAGTGGCTGTCAACATTCCTAACGCCTCAACCCTTTAACGTAGTTCTTCTTCATGTTGTGAGGACCCCAACCATAAAAGTATTTTCATCGCTACTTCCTAACTGTAACTGTGCTACTGTTATGAATAATTAATGTAAATATCTGATATGCAGGATATCTGATATTCGACCCCTGTGGAAGGGTCTGTGGACCCCCAAAGGCGTGACCCTCAGGTTGGAAACTACTGCTCTGTGGTCTGCATTCTGGTGTCAGAGGCCTGAGACAGTTTCTTCTCCCCCACCCACTCATTTCTCTTGTGTATTCCCCTCCAGTTTTCCCAGGAATTCTGAGTCCTGAAGGGAGAGGGGAGAGGCAGGTGGTCAGTCATACACCCCCACACCCCACTCCCCTCTCCATTCGCACACTCACACCTAGGTCTGCCCCAGGACAACGTGGGCTGAGGAGCCTCCTGCCTGGCAGGCTAGAACACCCATTACCATCTTCGCCTGTCCGTGGCTTGAAGCATGCAAGGGTGGTTTGTGGTGGCCCCCATCTGTAATCCCAGTGCTGAGAGGAGAGGATAGAGTTTGGGGCTAGCTTGAGTTACACAAGTTGGCCAACACCCTGAGTTACAAGATGATTCCTTGTTTCAGAAACAAAACCAGATGACAAAATCCAAAAAGAACTGCAAGGGAGAGGGGGACAGGGAAGGTCAGTGACAAGCTTGCCGAGCAACCCGAAGGCCCTGGTTCGATTCCCAGTAGAGGGAAAAAAAGCTCAGAACAGCATAGGGCACCTCATTCTCGCCCTCTACTGCTCGATGCTGAGGTTGCTTCAGTTGGACCGAGCCTCAGCTGCAAAGCAGGGTGCACCGGAACAGCTTCCCACTTAGGGCCCATGTCTAAGCAACTAAACTCTGCAGGACACCAGCCTTGAACTCAGTGCTTTCGAAGAGACCAAGACCGGATGCCGGCGGGAATTGCCTCCGGTGATGGCTTCCCTGTGCTCAATGTCGTCCTCGGTGCGCCTTGCGCTCTAAGCCTCGGATTTTCAAACCTTTATTCTCCCTATTACAGTATTTCCTTAGGGGAGGGGGTCTCTAGGAGAACTGAAAGCCGGGCATCCTGCATCTTACTCGGGCCAAGTAGGTACCAGAGTCCCTCTTCGGATCCAAGCAACTAGGTGCCCGGAGGATGCTGGCCAGGTCCCAGGAGGCGGGTCTGGTCTGGGGCTTTGATCCCGGCTCTGGAGGGCCCGCCCACTTCGGTAGGCAGGGGCAGGGATGAGGTCCGGGTTCAGGACCTGAGGGTTCATACCCAAGAGTCACACAGCGGGGTGGCAGGGGGTTGCTCCGCTCTTTGTCCTCCGGGAGGTTAATTAAAGAGGTGGGTACAGGAGGCTGGGCAGACTGACCTCTCCAACTGCCCGATTGCCTGGCAACACGCGGTGGGCAGAAGAGTCCTGCCTGCCGACCATGGAGCACCGTGTGAAAGTGAAGTCCTGGGTAGAAGAGAATCGGGCCTCCTTCCAGCCCCCGGTTTGCAACAAGCTTATGTGAGTCCCCAGCACCCGTGACTTCTACCCACCCCTTTTCTTGTTCCTCTTCCCCCTCCTCTTCCTTTTTCAATCCCCTCCCGCTCCGGCCTGGAGTTCCCCACCCCTAGAAGTGTGCCCAAAGGGGTTTGCCATCCACCTGGTTCTTTCAGGCGAGGGTGAGGACTGGCTGTTTCAGGTTTCAGTACCTCAGACTGTTCCTCTTTCTGGAGACCACAGTAGAGACGGTGGCTTTGACTTCTGAGCCTGACTTGAGTGTCTCCGAGGCTGTGAGAGACGAGGTGGCCGGATGCGACATTCCTTCCGTGACTGAAAGCAACCATACACCTTGGGAAAAATCATGGTTTTCAATGACCCAGACTAGAATTTAGGAACTGGAGACAGCTGGACCACACACCTCAACCCTGGCAAACCCTGAAGCCATGGTGTCAGAGGACCACCTTCTTTGGATGGTGTGTGTGTGTGGGGGGGGTCTCCATAGCCTAGGCTGGCCTTAACTCACTATGTAGCTAATAGTGTGAACTCCCAATCTTCTCGCTTCCACCTCCAAGTGCTCTTTCTGAGGTGCTGGGGGTAGGACCGCAGGGCTTCTCGAATGCTAAGCAAGCACTTTTCCAAACTGAGCTACACCCCTAACCATGGGTGTTCTTCAGGCCCTCCCAGGCCTTCTTTCCTATAGCACAACTGACTTGTTCACCCTGCCTTTCAGCTCAGACTTGCCCCTCCATCACCGTTCTCCCCCTCCCTCATCTCCACAGCTGAGCTCCCTACACCCCCGCCCCAGTGGTCCCCATATTTGTGTGTCTTTAAGTCATTTCCAATGGATGATGTGCTAACTGAGACAGCTACAGCCTCTTACCCTCGGACAGGAGGATTAGACCAAGTCTATACACATCATCTCATTGGGTTCTCACAGTAGCCCACATGGGGTGGGATTTAATAAGTAACTTTCCCAGTGTCACAGAGCTAGCAAGGAACAGAGTCCACACGCAAGCCCCAAAACAGTTTGACTACAAAGTCCACGCACACCCTTGGTCACTACGCAATACCCCATATCTAACCGTTATCTCCCCTTGAAGCCTCTCTCTCCTCTCTCTTCTACCTCTGTCATCCCCCCCCCCCCCCAGCTTGGAGATTTATCATTTTCGCTGCCCTCCTCCACTTCATCCCTGTCTTTAGTCTCTCAAGGACAAGGAGGAGTTGGAGGAGTGTGAATGAGAGACTCTGACATTGTCCGTGTCACCCTGGTCAGTAGTGACTCCCTCACCTCCAGCCCTGCCCCAGCCTTCCAGCCCTCTAGAACTCCTAGGTCAATCACAACAATCACAGGCCCTCCCTTTATTCAACCAGGAGATATTTGTTGAGCATCATGATGCTCTGGACTTTGGAGAATCGGCAGGAAGCAAATTGACAAGATGCCTTCCTTGTAGAACTAAGATTCTTGGGAAAGGAGATGTCAGTCGGTATGAACAGGCCTTGGCGGTAATCCTCTATCAGTGGGAGGGCTGAGTTTTCACGGAGTCTGTGCCATGCCTGGCTCTAGCTTCTGATTCTTTGCTGGCATCAGCGACATTCCTTGGTTTCAAATGCATGATCCCAGCATCCACTTCATCTTCACAGACCCTCCCCTGTTGGGAGTCTCCATGTCCAAATTCTCATTCATAGAAACCTCCCTTATGGGGCTGGAGAGATGGCTTAGTGGTTCAGAGCACTGGCTGCTCTTCCAGAGGACCCGGGTTCAATTCCTAGCACCCACGAGGCAGCTAACAACTGCCTGTAACACCCTCATACAGACATGCATGCAGGCAAAACACCAATGCACATTTTATTTATTTATTTATTTATTTATTTATTTATTTAAGATTTCTGCCTCCTCCCCACCACTGCCTCTCATTTCCCTCCCCCTCCCCCAATCAACTCCCCCCCCCCCCCCACCCCCAAGAGCAGTCAGGGTTCCCTGCCCTGTGGGAAGTCCAAGGACGTCTCACCTCCTTCCAGGTCTAGGAAGGTGAGCATCCAAACTGCCTAGGCTCCCACAAAGCCAGTACGTGCAGTAGGACCAAAACCCAGTGCCATTGTTCTTGACCAATGCACATTTTAAACAAAACTCACTTACATTGCACTGAGCAAAACACAGCTGGAACTGTCGCCCGCTCCTGGTCAGGACTCCTATCTCCTCACGGTATTTTCTTTCTCTTTTGTCCCATCAACACTGCCCCCTACTGCAACAAGATGCCGTAAAGCACTGTTAGACAGGCTCTGGGGTTCACACCCAGCTCTCATCCCCTATGACTGTGTGATGTGAAATGTAGCTCACTCCGTTACGACTATACCCTGCAACAGCCCTGTTTCCGAATAGGTTCACCTTCTGAGGTCTTGGGGGTTAGGACTCCACTATAAGAAATGGACCAGTTAGAGGATTCAACCTGTAACACCTCCAGAGAAATTCTGCATTCTGATTGGGAGGCAGGGAGGGGGGGGGTCATAGTTCTCAAACTTGTTCCAGAACTTTTTGTATATATCTTAGTAAAGTCTATTAATAAAAGGCCAAAAAAATGGCTGAAGGGATGGGTCAGTGTGTTGCAATAGGAGCGGCAGGGCTGCGTCCCCGGCACCCGGCCACCCGCATGGCAGGCTTATGTCCCGAAATAATTACACGGAAACTGTATTCTTTCAAACACTGCCTGGCCCGGCTAGTTCCAGCTTCTTATTGGCTAGCTCTTACATATTGTTCTAACCCATTTCTAATATTCTGTGTAGCCCACGAGCTGGCTTACCAGGGAGGATCTTAACCTGCATCTGTCTGGAGCGGGAGCATCATGGCGACTACTCTCTGACTCAGCTTCTTTTTCCCAGAATTCTCTTCTGTTTACTCCGCCTACCTAATTTTCTGTCCTATGAGGGCCGAGGCCCTCTTTATTAATAAGAAATCACTCCCACATCA